GCCATTCGCTCGAGTTATAGAGAGTCTAGAGGCTTGACAAGAACTCAACAACCATTCACATACCATTTTTCATTAGTCAGAGATTTGCTTCTGAAACTTTCAGAACACAATACCCAATGATGGGGGAATATCTCCTGAAAATTTCAGATGAATTCATTGAACTATCACTAAGTTATTAATCTCTCAATGGTATGATATAGTTTTTCGGTATATCAATATTTACACTAAAATGATCATAGTTCATCAATAGATAGATGAACTTTAATGAAATTTTTAGTGCAAATAGCTATTAGGTAGGGCTACAAAATGAGGGGTTGACCGACTCAAAATATCTTATCTTTCTCGAGTTATCAAGTTCATAATGCATACCAATGACATTCATTAGAACTCCATTCTTACTCGAGCAAATGTGGTGTAGGTGGTGCCGCTGACCTACATTCTTTATGGGCTACCTGCACACCAATTTTCAGTCGCTCAGCTCTTGTATGGACTGAGATCCGAGGGGGGGGGGATACTTTTGTCAAGTAGTGTATCTAAATAAAAATTCTAGGCGATGATGTGCTTGTCTGGCCTAATTTTCTGTTCTGGCAGATAGACCAGGGCTGTAAGCAATGCTTTTCGCTCCGTCACCCCTCCAAGTAAGACGGACGCTGATAGCAGAGCAAGAAAACACGATAAGATTAGATTCTGAAATTATAATTAGCACGTACAACTCAATTGTATTTTTTCTTCATGGTTGAATGCCAAGCACGATGCATATACAGGGTTGAAAATAATATTATTCCAGGGAGGTATCCACTATGATTTCAAATAGTATACACAATGAATATTATACCAAATGAAAGCTCGTGAAAAATGGGATCCAGGTGTATAAGTGGCCATTGATAATATCAGAATGAGCTATAGAATTAAGGAAAGCTCCAAAGGACACCACCGGATAAGCTTACAATTTTTTTTTTCATCGGACATTTTTCTCACATAGCTGATGTACAAGAGCATATTTTTTTACATAGGCCCGTGCATTTGCTTTAGGTTTTTATTGATACTTCTGTATAAAAAAATGGACCAGCTTTGAACCCCTATATGTCGATTTTTTAGTGACCAGAGCTATTTCATTGTGCTGTAAAAAAAGTTCATACCATATGTCGTTCAATATGGGTGTGGGTCTTCTCACTAAACGCACCAATGCACATATCAGCCGCTGAAACCAAAACCAGCACCCACACTCACACACCCAGACCCACATCCATACTACACCCACCCATACCCCACACCCACTTACTCATTCGGTTGTTATATAGAATGTTGTGCACTGCTGCCTACTGATGTATATGTACAAGTGCGATTTCGTATGCCATTGTATTTGCTACTAACTTGTCTATTTGATAAGGGAAAAACTTCAGGTTATCATGTTTAGCACGCTTCTATCAGCAGATGAACGAATATAAGTCATGCAAGTTATTATATCAGATAACATAATCATATAAATGAACGCATTGGTTAAATGTATAGCAAAAAATATGAGATCTGTAGAGGACGATAGGTAAATTATAACATCACTACGCCCGGATTCGAATGACGTTAGTCAAACAAAGTTATTGTTTTTACTGATTGATGGTCATTCAATTTTTTCAGAATAACCTTTCTTCTGTTTCTTCTTCTACTAGTAAAGATAAGAATTACCACTACAGTAGAAAGACACTATATTTTACTCCCATATCTTTGTCCAAGGTTGAGCGTGTTAAGGCAAGTCTTGCACTAGAGAAGAGTATACTCACAATAACTCCACAATCATATGCATAACATTTTGATGTAATCAATTCGAATAATATACGTACAATAAATTGTTTGAAAATTCAATTTTCAATTAAATAATAATTTTGGCCTCAATAGGTTAAACTTAAATTTACTTCCAGGAAAAAAAATATATATAAAGGATTACCAGAAATTAAGGATAAAAACAATTCTCCATAAAGAAAACCGTTACTATCTATAATATAAAATGCCTTACTTAAAAAAATTGTTAACATGTTGATTGAAGCAGACTAATATAAAAAATCTGGTCCATGGTCACCGTTTTTCCTGAAAATGCTAGACTATTATCAGATGTTTCATAGGATAATTCTGATTATATATTTAAATGAGAATTTCAAGATTTATCAACATGTTGTTGAACAAATTCTTTTGGCGCCTTAACTGTACTATTAGCACATGTTCGTACATGAACAGTTTCAAACACATGATTACGATAAACATGTGCTCTTTTTGATAAATGAAGTAGAATAATATCACAAACAATAGTTCCTAAGCCAAATAGTCCAATTAATGAACCAATATTTAAAGTTAATGTAATAAAATCAAATTTTCCTGCTATACCACTAACAGTAATTATAAAACGAAGACCAAAAGCTTTTGTTAATGTACGATAATGTTTCTGATTATGTTTCCAATACGAAGCATAACGAAAATTAAAACCACGTGAAAATGGATTTTCATAAAAAGGTACATCAAGACGAGCAAATGAATATTCAGGTTTACATCGTTTTATATTTCGATCTAAATTACAATCCCAGTCAAGTTTAATACGTACAACACCACCATAGCGTAACATCAAATTAAGTTCAGTAATATTTTTTTCAGCTTCTTTCATTATATAATCAATGGTAAATATCGGACAATCTGTATCTTGTTTTGGATGAAAAGTACATTGTTGTAAGTTATCAACCATATTTTTATGTTTAACACCAAATTCTGGAAATTCAATAAAATTCTTAATAAATATTGTAAAATTGAGAGTTTCTTGAACGAGCATTGTCGATGTAAGATCATCTTCTGGTGGACACCAACCTATAAAAAATATCTTGCTAGTAACATATAATGTAAAAATTATGGCATAAAATATTGACATTTACATTTCTTTCATGGACACGGCTCTGGAAAAAAACCTTTTTTTTAACATTCGATAGGAAAATTTTTCCTCTTTCTACCTGTATATAATCGTATTTCATCGTCTACTACGAGATAAAAATGACAAGGAGTCATTTTCTACAACTTGCTACAATTTTTTCTGGGTCCTTTTTCTTGAACTTCACGTTTTCTCATAACCGCTGATATTCTTCAACGTACTTTACGACTAATAGTTGATTAGTTAACATTAAATCGTCCAGCCAGTTTAGGTACACTGATATCACAACGATTGTAAATAGAGTCCACTAGCTATTTTAATTTTTGATTGGAAAGTTTTAATGACTGTACCCTTCTTGGTAAAAATTTTGTTTATCCCCATTTTAAATACTTTTATGAGTCGATATAAAAATTGTAAATTTGTTGAACAAGTGCATCTCTTTCTTCGGGTATTATTCTCTTTGTGAGTATTCCATGAAAACAAATTATGGCTCTCATACGTCTTTTAGGAGAAGATATTGGGATCGACATTTTGTGCCCTTATTTTCAAATAGATGCAAAGTGCGGAACTAGTTGCAGGGTGCCTATCTTTCTTCTCCTGCAGTTTTATTTACGTGTCTGACAAAAACTAGTAATATACAATTCGAAAGACGAACACATTTTCTATGAAATGGTAAAAAATTTCTTTCCAGCGATGTCTTCATGAAGAAATATAAGAGTCGACATTTTGTACAATTACTTTTGCATCGTATGTTAGAAAAGCTAGTAAAGGAGCTACTTAAGAAAAATTTGACTAATGATCTTTCAACCATGCAGTAGCTTCTGATGGATAAACATTATCTATTTGTTCTTATATAATCATTAGAAAAATAGCATCGTCTTCTAATATAAGAGCAAATACTGTCAACTTCTGCATCGTTGCTAATCGTTAGGATCAAACGTTACTATGGGGATAAAATACACACAGATAGTCATTAAACTTTCATTGAACTCCTAATTGCTCAGTATTAGCCCTATACGCACAATATTTTGGCAACGTTTCAACCTTATTCTGTATTATAATTCAGAAAGGCATTTAATGCCGTCTCGTTTCATGTAACAACTATTATTACTTTATTCGAAAAATCTGTCATAAGGCATATGATTCTTCCACCATGGTATGTTTCTTTCTACAAAGTGACATATACTTCATTTGATATCGACTTGAGTTAAAATTCGCTAAGGATGCACATTATATTCAGTATACGAAAAGAGCACTTTTTGAAGTAGTTGTGAGCAAAGTTCATGAGATTAACCCAATTTTTACCGAAAATCGATGGTCTGTTTGAATGTGGGATGGGGTGTAGATGAGTATCTGTAAATCTTCCGCACATCCACACCTTTTTCCTTAAAAGTCGGGTTAATCTCATAAAATCTGCTTTGTCCAGTTGTCAGCTATTGAATTATACCATGGCAAAAGAATCATATCTCTTATGACAGAATTTTTGAACAAACTAATAATTGTTGCTACGTAAAACGAGACAAAATTAAAAGCTCTTTGTAACCAAGACAAAATAAGCTTGAAAAGTTGCCAAAATATTGTGTGTAGAATTAATACTGAGCAAGTGGAAGTCGAATTTTTGCATAAACTTATTTCTTGAAAGAATCGCTCTATTTTCATGGAAAAAATCACGCGTAAAGTAGCTAGAAGTATTCTCTAGATCAAATCAACATCTAATGCGCCATTTTCCTTTGTTTAACCGTTTGAACATTATGTAAAAATAAGGGCATCCATATATCGAAACTCAGAAATCATAACATTTTATTCTTCAAAAAATATTTCATTTATCTTATAAGAACTCCTGTTTTTGACGATGATACGATTGTATAAGGTTCGAATCATTTATTGTTCGAAGATACAATCTTGACATATAACATATGCTGTCGGAGTATTTGATAAATTAGTCATTTACGTGACTGATAGTCGTATACTAAACGTTCCATTAGATATTATTTCAATGATAAAAATATAAATCATAATACTAAAACAATATCTCATTGCTTTTTATTTGTAAATATCAAACTATTTCGTTAGCATATTAAACTTTCTTTGTTGATTTTTATAATCTAAAAACAAAAGATCTACCTGCATATTCACAAAAACCCGTTGTAGTTTTTATAATATTTGTTGTTTCATTGACAACATCTTTTTCTGGTAATAATAAACATTGACCAGTCCAACGTCCATTCATATCTGGTGTAAATGGTTTATTCAAACAGTTACTATCATCTTTACATATTGCATTTTTAATTTGTTGACTTTCAGCACATTTAGATCGTGTCTGATCAGTTTCAATAAAGTCTGTCATGATAAATATAGCATTATTTTCCGATGGTGGAATAATATAATCTATGAAAATAAAATAATGATTCGATTCTCAATATGATTCTGTGGTTTTGTTTTTGTATATACCTGATCCATCAATAATCATTGTTTGATTTACTGGTACATGAACATAGCCAATACCTTTTACTTTAAGTGTTATTGATGACGTAATTGTTGTACTTTGTTTTTGATAACCTTTTTCATATATAAGTAAATATATTACAGAATAAATAAGAATGATAATCTGTAAAATGCGAAGTAAACCAGCATATTTTGCACTATGTATTGTAACTAATTTTGATGTTTCATATTCGGTTAAATAACCTTTAAGAAAATTTTTCAAACCTTTCCCAAAATGATAGTGCTTTTTGCTAGATGGATTTGAATTCATTTTTTACAATGAAACGTATTATATATTCTAGAATAGAATTAATAATATAGGTCGATAATTTTTATAAGAAACAAAATGTGATATATTAAAAATATTTTGTATTTGTCATCTAATAATAATATCTTTTTTTCTATTTTTAGAATAATGATTTCATAGAATAAATTCTTATATTTATTAAATAAAATAGAGAAAAATACACTGGTCCTACAGGAAGCACGTACTCCTCAAAATGCAGTGCGTATTCAATTGAAAAAAGCCGTATATGGCATTTTATAGCCTTGTATATATAACGCTAGAATAATCTTACAGTTATAAATTGTTTTCAGAGGACGTACGATATCGACAGCGCCAACCACTATATACAACACAAGTATTATTGTTTGGTCGAAATTCAGTCAGTTATCTGCATGACTTGTGATGGAATAATAGAATGACAAAAATAACAATGTATTGTATGCAATAGCGTCTTTTCATTCTCTTCTCAGAGAAAGAAAATAAAAATAATATATACAATGGGCTAAAAAATTTGCTTATATAAGATTCTATGAAATGTTTGAGAAATAATGTAATATCTATTGAAAAGAATTATAAACTATTTTTCCATGAAGCCAAGTATTGACCTATAAATATATGTCAATTAAATAGTTATATCACTGTATATCGTCAATTTGTAATGTACGGATCTAGATAAGAAATAACTAAATTCAGATGTGTTCATATCGAATATTTTTTGATAATATTTGTTTGAATTGTAGTATTATATTGAATTTCTATGTCTATAACAACAAACTTCTTTCTTCATATCTACTTCTTAACATCCATACATCAATAGCACATTCTTACATATTACTCTTGTTCTTCTATTCTAACACCCCTGTATTTATATTCTTAAGTCTCTAGATCTATTCAACATGCAATCATGACAACTACTGACATTAAGTTCTATCATCAAATTTTATATTTCTATAGCTATATTCTTAGCTTTTAATTTTTAATCATTCTTGCATATTCTTATTCATTTAATGATTATTTTCTCATATGTATATCTCAATACTTATTCATTACGCTTCTTTGTTTCATAAAATAACTTTCTTTACTTCTGTAAAATTATTTCACATTTTCTTTTATGTTTATACTTTTCTTTATATCTGTACAGATCTTCAACGATATATAAATACCAAAATAAGTATCACCGTCTTATTTATTTGATTATTCACTTATTGTTTTCATTAGTATTTTTTTTTCTAACAATGACGTCTTTGGACCAATGACGTAACCTGAAATATTCATCAAAAGATAGAAGACATTCTGTTTGATGATACATTGAAAAAACATATGTCGCACAGAAAATAATTTTTACATGTGTGATCTAATGCTTCTCAAGTTCGTTAGCGCTTAATAAACATAAATACAATGAAAAATTCGGATTCGACTATCAGATTTCATGAAAAATTCTCGAAAGTATTAGAATTTTATGCGGAAATTGTTTTAACGCATTATTCGTAAATGAATGTTTATATTATTTAAATAAATGCGTGCATACAACAATAGAAACATTTATAAAACAATAAAAATAAATTCTCTTTATCTTTTAATTTTTTTTCTTCTTGTCCATTGAAGAATTCAAATTGTAATAATACTTACTCCAGCAATAAATAAAAAAGTACATGTCTTCAAATCGTTTGATGATATGATAAGTTCGAACTGTCTAGCTCATATCTTTTTCGTTTAGATATCGACAATTACATGATATCACAAAAGTCATCATAACATTTCAAATGCTTATAATTCCATCTATTGAGTATTAAGAATAATTCAATACTTCTACTGTTTTTGTTTGTAAGAGAGAATTATGAATTTCTATTCCTAAAGATAAACTGCATAAATACTCTTGAATACTTATCACTTTTGGTTGTAGTCTAAAAACTTTTAGTATTTTTTCCAGTGTTATATAAAATATGTAATATAGTTTTTCCATGTTTACTTCAATTTACATCGCTACAATGCAATTTAAAGCATAAACGTGTGGATGTGTGTGTAGATCTTCTCTTCACTTACATCAGCACTCACACCCTACTAATCAAGTACTAGTAAGATATGTTAATGATTGAAACTTTATTATGACGATATAAATTGAACTCTTCACTTGCAGATAGCAGAAAAGACGATGCGGTAGACTAAGTTTCATCAATAATGATGCTATATGCATTTGAAATATGATTATGACCGTTGAAAGACTCTTTAGTGTATTGGCTTGAAGCTGTATAAAGACAAGAGTTTGTCTATTAGATGGTTGCTTATATTGCAAAACATGAATAAATATCTTTCTAAGGATAAGAATCGTACATAAATGAGAAACAGAAAAAAAATCTTTCAAACATATCTCGTCTATTAGTTTAGATAACAAGAACTTCTTTTTTTTTCATTAAAGAGAAAGAAGAAAGCACAGAAAAATTGATTCACAGACATTAATCATTTCATTGATTGCATAAAAATGCACATTGATGTATATCTGCATTTGAGTAATATGCTAGATATCATGTAAATAACATTGGCATATATGAATGACAATTGTCTGTTTCTGTTATCTATTGTCATATATAATTCTTCTTTTAGCTTTTTGTTACATCAGAAAAAGCCTATCTACCATACAACTTGTTCTTATTAATTGATATTTTGAAAAAAAAAACTAACGTTTTATTTGATGACCACACAAACCAGTGTGACTCTCTATAGAACAAAATAGTATGTTGACAGTACTGGCCAAAAGACTTCTTGCTTGGATTTTAGTGTCTATGAGAGCTAAACGTCTGAAAATTGTTCTGCAGGTAGTTCACAGATGATGCATGTCAGCGATAATATCAACGTCAGAATCGCTCAAGCTAGAACGAAGTTATAATAGGTAATGTATATAATCACTGTGAATCTCGTTACATGTGAACAGATAAACGTTTTGAATCGTAAAATCTCTCATTTTTCAGCTCTGCATTATGGCTATTTCTCATATAAAACCTATCGAAGTTCACCAAGCTATTGACGAACTAGACTATTTTTACTGATACGAAACCATAAAATACCATTGAACAGTCAATAAGTTAATATTAGTTTGAAGAATTAAGGCAAAATTTTCAAAAACTGTTCCATCATAGCTGGAAACTGTCTTCTCAACGCTTCAGAAGCAAGCATTTTACTAAGCCAAAATTGTGCAGCGATGATCATCATCAACTTGCGAAGACAGTAGAGTCTTCATTACTCAAACAAATGATCTTTGACGCAATAAAAGATAATGGTATATGTGGATACAGCTTGCATTATTTTATAGAAAAATTATATTTTTAAAAGTTTAGAGGACAGTTATCAGAGACTCAAATGCTTTAAACTAGCTTGTGCAGCTTTTCATATAATTCTCAGCAACTTCAACTCTAATACTGACGAGTGAAAATCTCCAACTGTCAAACCGCTTTTCACTTGGTTCTATTGCCATTCGATCAGTCTTGATGAGTAGTGAAAAAGACTATTTTGGTTTGGTTTTCCGGTCTTCTATTTTCGACTTACGGGTATTTTGACTGGGTTTTTGGCCGATGGGCATGAGATTCCATGAGAACCTTAATAATCGAATTTCGCGCTGAAATACTGTCCATAGACAGCTCTCATAGTCATTAGAAAATTTCCAAAGTTTGAATCAGAATGAATATATCGTTATCGAAATATTCACATTTAAAAAAACCTCGCTCTTGGGCTGTATTTCCAAATAGGGATATTTTCAATGCAACCTAATATCTCAACAATGGTACGCTTGTTCTGGCTCAATCTTTGAAAATTTTCTAATGATTATGAGAGCTGTCTAAGGATAAAATTTTAGTTCGAAATTCGATTATTCAGGTTCTTATGGAATCTCATGCCCATAGGCCAAAAATCCAGTAAAACGCCCATAAGTCGATAATAGGAGACTGGAAAATCAAACCAAAACAGACTTTTTCACTACTCACCAAGACCGATCGAATGGTAATAGAACCAAGCGAAAAGCGATTTGACAGTTGGGGATGTTCCCTCGTGAGTGTTTCGACAAAGTCAGCTAGGTTTTATTTTTTTCTCAGACCTGCGAACTTTTCGAAACAGTTTTTCCGGTGAAATCTTGACAAATGAAGATGATTGCTTCATTTGACAGAAAATAGGCTCATTGATTTATGGTTTGTTTTTAGGGTAATATATCAGTAATTATTGATCTTTCAGCATAACATTATAGTTCAAGTCATTATCATTCATTGTTCAAAAGATGACATCATTTGCTTGAATGATGGAAACTTCAGTGTTTTCACGAATTCGCCATGGTCATCGGTGCGCTATTTTCGTTTAATGAAATGTTTTCTTTCTGAAATTTCCAGAAAGCAATCGCTACCTGTAATCGAACGCCTGCAATTTTCATATTGATTCATCAAATTATCACTGAGGTATTAATCGTTCAATTATATTTTATAATTTCTTTTTTGCATATCCATATTTTCAGTAGAAGAAGGAGAAGAATACCCTGCCTTTCAGCTACCTTGAGGGTGTGGAAGTGGGGATGGGGGTGGGTATAAGAAAAGAAGCCAACAGCATTCACACCCTACACAGTAATTGATTGTATAGGATGTAACTACGCATAAAACATTAATTTTGAGGACAGCACATCTAATTAGAAAGTTGTTACTATAATGGTTTATATAGTTATTTATTTATTTATTTAACACATTCGGCACGACGTGATCCATCGATGGGTCACGGTAAAAGTTTGGATATCCCCACTCTATTTTAATCAAATAGGCTAGCTTTTTTGTTGGTGATAGAGAATTGTTCAAAGTTTTTGTTCATAAAAGAAACGTTACATGCACGACAACTTTGAATCGTAAGATATTTAATTTCATCTAAAACAAATTAAACTAGAAATATCTCTCTCTGCAATTCGAAACAAAAATTAGAATAATTCGTTTGAACTTGCTGAATCTATAAGGATTTACTTG